TTAGTCCAATAAACATGTTTGTAAATGATTTACAAAAGTCTAGATCCTAGGATTACAATTAAAATTTGATTGATCTTCATTGTTAAATCTTCCTATTAGAGAGTTGGGATGAAAACTTCTAATTGAGCAAAAATCCATGAATTATTGATGTTGATGATCCAATCAAATTGAAGGAATTTGGATGCTTCACTAATCTCGTATATTGATAATTAAATCTCATTTCAATTGACAAATTAATTTCACATAATTCATGAAATCCTAGTTCGACTTTTTTTTTAAATAATTCGTCCATCTCCCTGTGGAATCGACACCTCAAAACTGTGCTACAACTACTGCGTTATTCTTTGGGCATTATCAAGTAATAAGTACCTCCTCTAATAAGCACTCTCGTCGGTCCTCAAAGATCTAAATTGATATATGCGAGTGTTCCATTCATGTTGTGTCTTCCTTTCGTGAATTTAACTTTTTTCTATTTCCTAAAGACATTCCTCCGTTCAAGAAGTCCCTTCCTATTCAGTTTTACCATATCATTCTCACTCATATGTCCAATTCGCATATACCAAAGTTTTATATCTTCCTCATTTGTCAAGGAAGAAATAGAAATTGTTGCATCCCTTATAAATGTATAACCCCACATGTTTAACTGTGTAGAGCTTTTATGTCCCTCATAACAATAACAGCACCTGGGCTCACCTTCAAAATTTCGTATTCATCAATTTATTTATAACCCTTTGAGTCAAGAGTGCTCAAAGATATAAAATGTCACTTCAATTTTGTAATGTGCCTTATATCTATAAGTGTTCTAATAACCTCATCGAATATTTTGATTCTGGCTGTACTAACTTTGATAATTTTGTAAAGTGTGTTGTTTCCCATAATCACTGCTCCTCTCGAAACTCCTTTATATGTTATAAACTAGTCTCCGTTGGGACATATATGAAAACTACACGCCAAGTTAAAAAAACTCATTCCTCACAAGATTTGAAACTCATGTCAAAAATCACAAAAAGCTCTCGTTCACGTTGCCAATCTTCCACAACATCAGCCTTCGTTGTGTTTTTAGGTTGTTTTCCTTTATCATTAGCACCAGCAGCCTTATTTCTATTTTTTAAAGCATAGCAATCAACTTTTATATTTCACTTCTTCTAATGATACATTTTTTTGCATGTTTGGATTTCGGTTTGTCCCTCATATTTCAACCAAGATTCGTATCTTGATTTCTCCTATAAACAACCAAGCCTTCAACCTGACTTCCAGATCCATTTGCAAGATGCCTCATCCTTTTCTTAGACGGTAAAGTATCATAGACCTCATCCACAGTGAGAATATCCTGACTATGTAGAATAGTATATCTAACAGTCACATTTGACGGCAGCAACGAACACAACAACATCAACGCCAAGCCTTCTCATCATACTTAGCGTTCAATGTCTCCAAATCAGTAATGATTTCTTCGAACGTAGTTAAATAGTCATCCCATGGTGTAACTTTAATCATCCAATGAGAATGTAAGTACTGTTTCAAGTGTAACTTATTGATCAAGCTCTTTGTCATACAAAATCGATCAAATTTCAACTACGGCACGGAACACTTTTTCCTTTAGAACATTCTAAATAATTTGATTTGGTATATGTAGTTGGATTTGAGATTGAACTTTTCAATCCCTAAGCTGCTTTTCATCCTGTGTTCAGGCTAAATGCATCTTGTCAAAGCCAAAAAAGGTTTCCTCCAAATCCATTTGAGCGAGAACTGCTCGTATCTTCACTTGCTATCAATCAAAAATTGCTTGGGAGAAAATACGCAAGTGCTGATCAAGCGACCAGCTAGCGAAAATGCAACGATTTTTCTTCTCGATCCATAATTTTGATTTCTTTAAAATCATTTTAACCAAAACTCCAATACTCACTAGAATTCGGGTCAAACTACAATATATTGAATAAATAGAATAAAATTATTGAAAGATTATGATTGACTATAATATTAATTTGGAAAAGAAAATGCCACAATCAACTTAATCCCATCCAATTTTTTATCGATTTTTTCAATGTTGTCAAAATCGGTCTGGTCCAATCGGTAAAATCGGGAATCAGGCCCAAAATCGGGCCAATCATGCCCAATTAACCAATTATGACCAAACCACTTAAAACCCATTGAACATGCCAGTTTAATCATAAATCAGTAAACCGGTTGCGATTTTGTGATTTTTCCCCTTTTTTTAGTTTAAAAACTTTTAACTTCATGAATGGACCCCTAAATTACAATTCAAAGGCCCATAGAAAAATATTGGATAGCATGCTCCTTTTATAGATGTATTTCTCTCAGATGGTTTCATAAACTTTAATATGAGAAAGTATCTTTTATAGATGCATTTCTCTCCAATGTTTTCATAAATTTCCAATGTTGGATGGTGGCATAACAAAAGTATGTTAAAATGCCCATTAAAACCGTTTTCTAAATTTATGTCTAATTGACTAATTTAATTTTGAATCCCAACTAACAAAATTGTAATATCCACCTTCATCTATTCATTTATTCAATTTTCAAATTTAACTTAAATTGCTTTTGATTATTAATATATTAATGTTAGATATCATTTCCAATAAGTTTAAACAATTTTAATTTAACAAAGAAAACTAATTTAACATTTGAAGTATCGAGACTAATTGTATGATAATAAATCTAATTAACAAAGACATATTTACTTTAAATTATTAATATGAAAATTAAAAAAAAAAATATTGTTTTCACAATATTTTATTATTTTTGTATGAATTTATTTATTTAATTATTGTGTCCGATTCGACCTAGTTAAACATTTTGATCCTTCACCTTTTTCGAATTGATTTTCAAAAAATTGGAGAAAATTGGATTTTTTGCTTAAGCCAGCCACATCAAGTATAAATCATGCCTAGTCGAAAGGACACCAATGACACTGCTCACCCAACCCACATTACATTCTTAATAATAGATAACGATTTTGGTGTCCGAAATGATTCTTCCTAATTGAATTTGCAAACAATTATCTATATTTACAATCTTGAAAGTTAAAAAAAAAAAAAAAATGATGAGGGCTATCATCGACACCGACATCTAGAGGATATTTGACACTCATTTTTATGAAAAATGAATTTTAGAATAGTAGATTGATGGAGAAAATATAGATAAAAAATAAGAAATTTTTTTTTATTTACATATAATATTATTTTAACAAAGAATGTGTGATTAAAAAAAGATAGAAAAATGTATTTTGATAAAAATGAGAATCAAACGGACCTTTCTTTAAAAGTAATAATAACAATAATAAGTTAGGCAGGCAGGGACCAGACCGAGGACGATAGAAGAAAAATCTCACCAAAACCCTGTCAACATACATACAGGCCCCACTGTTTTCTTTTGAAAATTTTTCAATTTCATCCCAAACAAGCCCAAATTCTGTTCAGTCAATTTCCCACTCCACTACGCTTTCCTCTTTTTCACGTTTTCCAAAAAATCATGCGATAATTTATTCGATCGTACTACAAGCACAAAAAATTTTGATAGAAAACAAATAGCGGAAATTGATTGGAAAATGAAAAAGAAAACAAAAAACAATTCAATTATCTACTACCACATTGACATCACAAAAAAAATCTTATCAAAATTCACTATATCCACGACTTTTTCTTAATTTTTAGTACACAAAATTTAAAACATGCAAATGAATAGATTTGATCCTATCAGACACACTTGCCTCCAAAGTCGTCTTCTTATGACCCACCACATGTAGTGCTTTTCTCACCAAATCTCTTATCATTCGTACACATGCCAGCCAATCTAATCTTTTGTCATTTGAACACAAATAGAGGTGTCAAAATCGTTCGAGAAATCCTACCTTCATAGTTGAGTCATATCAGTAAGTCCAGCCTCGACTATGAAGATCACAGCCAGATCACACAAGAATTGAAGAGTATTAAGGCCCCGATTGGGAGGAATTTTGATAATTGATTTTTTGACCGTTAGAAGAAAAGTAGGGTTCACCCGTGAGAGAAAAAATCAAAAATTACGGTTAAAATAGTTAAATAACAGTCAAAAAATCAATTTTTTTGAGTAAAAAATCCCTTACAAACAGGCTGTTAGGCCATCTCCAACCCTACACCAAATTTTGCACCAAATCTTGCACCAAACTAAAATTCATATCCAATCATTACACCAAAAATTACACCAAATGAACAGTGTTTTACCATTTTCTTCCCTTTTTTTATTCTTTATAATTTATTTATTCGAAATATTATTTATTTAATTATTTCATAAATACATAAATTAATAAATAAATAACTACGTTAAATTACGAAAAATATTAAATTCATTAATAAATATAAAAAACATAGAACAATTAATAAAAATACTACAACAATGAAAATATGAAATCATGCCATCAGAAAATAGTACAATGCATTTCGAATTTGAATAGACGATATTACGAAATAGCTAAATTTTTGCAATTTAATTCTCAGAATTTATATGTTCATCCCACAAATGATTGATTAATGCATTTCGATTAATGCACTTTTAATGTATCCTTTTTTTAAAAATAAAATTAGATTATCGTATGTATGTCGCTATTTAATATATTTCTTGTTAACTTTAATAAATAATCGTGTTTGATGCATTTTAAATTGTTTTTGTCTCTTAATTAATTTATTAATTATTATGTCTTACATTTAAAATTTATTTTAAATACAAATACAAATAATATTAATATTAGTATTAATAAAAAATAATAATAATAATTTATTGTATTAAAAAATATATAACACAAATGACATAAATACCCTCAACAAATTTATTTGGAAAATGTTAAATAAGGACAAAATGAACATTTTACACTTTGCACCTATTTGGTGCAACACTATTCACTTTGCACAATTTTTCATCGAAATGGTGCAAAATTTGGTGTTGGATTGGAACAATTTTGCACCAAACAATGGTGCAATGGTGTTGTGGTTGGAGATGCCTTAGAATTGTTACCAAAGACCATTTACATTTTTCTTCTGCACTGAGTTATTCATTATTGTACCAACGTACAAACATGATAACAGTATAGTACACTACTATTAGAGGAGTAGATATGCAAAATATGCAAAGAGAAGCAGGTAAAAAAGGGGGAAAAAAAGAAACAAATAAAAGCCCATAAAGAAATAAAGAAAAAAAGAAAAAAAGTAAAAGAGAGTTCTTTCTGGATTCTACACGATTGATGTGGATTTTCGGACAAGATATCGATAAGCAGCAACTTTTCTCTTGCGAGAGGCGGTGTTATCAACGGAAAGCACCATTTTTCCAGCTTCTCTGGCCGTATAAGAGTTGCAAATTGCCTCTTCATTGGCTGCAATCCTTCTCTGTTTCTCCACGGCAATGGTGTAGCTGCCTTCAGCAATGGGAACAAATTCAGCACTGTATTCCAATTCCCAGCCACCCACTACTATCTCCCAAGATATTGTTGCGCCAGCCTGCATTGTAATCCACAAAAAAACAATTTGGTATCAGATAAAGTGTACAGACAGCTTCACTGGTGCCGAGACGGCACCACCTGATTGGTTGTTTTAACCTTTTTTTGTCTAAATTCCAATGAATTATTTCCATGTGGCACTATGTAAACCCATCTATGCATTTTGCCTAACACTGTTCATTTGGCATAAGGAACTATCTAGTGTAGTCGATAGACCTAAAACTTGTTCAACTACATCGTTTAAAATCTTAAACCATTCAAACATGAAAAATCTATTTACTTGTGTTCATATCTTCCACATAATTTTAATAATAGATTATTACCTCAATGCCCTCAATTTGTATGTTTACTTTCTCTCCTCCTTTGACAGTAAACTCGGATGCTGATTTTGGTGAACCATTAAGGACATTACTGGGTCGACTCAGTCCACCATACTGAACAGGGACATCTTCTGGCCTAATAAACCTGATCAGAATATGCAATTCAATGGACTACAATCAGCAGAGAGAAGCAAATTCAAACAAGAAAATACCCATACAATAAATTCATCCAGCACATAAAACACATAATGCTTGGTTTTAATCTTGTCTAGTGTTGTCCAATCTGCTCAATTTTCGTTTCATGAATGGAGAATACAAACGCATACAAAACAAAAAACAGCGTTAGTAGATGTCATCATCTGTATCCAGGGAAGAAAAAGGATAAAGAAAATTAGTCTAAATGTTTGAAATAATTTAAACAAGATAAATGCAGAAGAGTTTGAGATACTCACTTGAAAAGTGTCTCGGCAACATTTCCTTCCTTGGATATTACAAATTTGCTCTTTGTTCTTTGAGTGAGAAATGGACTAAACATTGAATACAGGAGACTAAAGTACCATGGCACATTGATAAAGATCTACAAAAACAAAATCAAAACCATGGAATCCAAGAAAATAGTACTAAAACCACAATCAAAATCATTGCGTTCAATTAACAGAACCCAAAAAAATAAAAAATAAAAAATAAAAAACTCTATAAAAATACAGTAAGAATCCTAGGTTAATTACCTTGCGGGCAACCATTTCAGGGTAATTATCTTGAAAAAGAGATAGAATGTGATTAGATGCAACTCTGAGCTCTCTTTTGGGCATGTCTTTGAGATCAGTGACCTGAATAATGGAGTTAATCCCACCAGGTTTAAAATGAAGTAATTTAATGCCTCTTTCAAGAACTTGAACTCTCCATCTCAAGAATTTCTTTAGCTTTTCATCATCTCCAAAAATCCTCTCATACATTTCTTTATCTTTGAAAACTCCGTAAGCATTGTAGCAAACCGGATGCCCTTCTCTGTCATAAGCGTGCATATATGCCACAACCCCTTCAAGCTCCTTAAACCCCAAATCTTCTTCCAGAATGCCATCAGTCTCAAAATCTTTCCTCCAAGAAAGACAATTTTGCAACATATTCAGTGTATCTTGAACTTTAAAATCCCTCGCACGAAGGAATTTCAAGAGAATAACATCAGCCCTTTCATCACCTCCCAAGAGTGGAATGCCCCACATAGAATCAAGCCTATCTGACGCAGCTATGAGCTTATCCTTAAGCTCCTGAAGAGCCTTCTTTTCAGATGCCCTGAGGTGCGAAATGAAGTATGTATCTTCTTTAAATGAAGGGGTAATCAGCGTGGCTGCTTCCATTAAAGAAGTAACAAATTTTTTCTTCGAAGGTGATGGCTTTGGGGAAAACTCTGGAGTCTGAATCTGATCTTGAAGATTGATAATTTTTACTGAAGTAGGCGATGTGGCTTCCATTTCTCGAGATTGAAATGAAAGCCCAGGTGGAAATCTTTGTCTAAAATTGCAGTGTGAACAAGAAGTGGAGTAAAATGATAGAGTGAAAATGGTGGTCTGTTTAAAATTATTGGTGTTGAGGTGACGGGATTGAGCAGTGTGGAGTTAATTGTTTCAATGGTTACAGAAGTTAGGTTCACGTTTTTAATTTATCACTAAAATTTAAAATATCGAGTTTTGATCATTGAACTTAGATTCATATTTTCGATTGTTCATTCAACTTAGGTCTATATTTTCGATTGCTCATTGAAGGTTAAAATATCAAGTTTTGACGACTGAACTTTGAAATATACCGTACATTACTCATTAATATAAATTTTGAATTTTAAAAAATATCGAATTTATAGTTAGTAATGTATAACATTTTTCAAAGTTGAGTGAGTGATGTACAACATTTTTCAATATTTAGTGATCAAAATTTGATATTTTAAACTTTAGCGAACAATCGAAAATATGGATCTAAGTTCAGTGATCAAAACTCAATATAAGTTCAGTGACCATTAGAACAATTAACTCAGCAGTGCGTGTGCAATTTGAAGATTTTGAATGTGAAATGTGAACTTCGAAAAGCAACTTATTTAATAATAATAATAATAATAAATAAATAAATAATGCCCTTGTTTGGACTTATTTTGAAAATAATGAGATTTTGGGAAAAAAAAGGTATTTTGGAATATTATTTTTTGAAAAAAAATATGTGGTTAAAAATAAAGGAAATTTTTTGATTTACACGTAATATAACTTTATTGAAAAATGTGTGATTGAAAAAAAAAATCGAGCCTAAACAACAATTATAGCACATTTTATTAAATTTTAATAACTTAATAAAAAGTTAAAACCGTAAATTTCATGAAATATATTATTAAAATTGAAGTTTGAAAAAATTAATAAAAATTTGCAAAGTTCGTGTAATGATAAACAGACAGGTAGAAAGACATGGAATAAAAAAAAGGAGGATGTGTCAGCAAAATGTTGGCTTTTTTTTTTTATTTTTTTTATTTTTCAAACTCTCCAATCATGATCGACACGTGTGCAACTTATTTTTAACATTGTATTTCACCCTGTTTCTGTAGAAAACTCGCAAAGTTTTATCAAATAAGTTGTCATCCCTAACTCACCTTGTTTGAGCCTCATTTTTTCCATTCTTTCTTAGACCTCGTTTGCTGTTCAAAAATTCATTTTTTGATCGTTACTTAACATAGTTAGCATTCATTTTTGACATCTCCATTTACAGGTGGGACCCACCTTTCAAGCTAACAATCAAAAAATTAATTTTCAAAATCAGCACCAAAACAGGCTCCCATTATTTTTTCTACAGTACTTATTTCCAACAACTCATTCTTTTTTAACCATACGTTTCCATCAATTTATTATTTCATAATATATTATAAGAAATTAATGGGGCTCAAACACGGCCTGAGTTATTTGTACAACTTTTGTTGATAATTTTGATATTATCAAAATTCAGGCTATTGATTTAAAAAATAATTTTTAAAATTGATAAATGTGATGTTGCCGAGTATGAAGTTATCAACTAAAGTTGTCGATCAAAATTGTACAAACAGCGTGATTCTTTGTTTTCTTTTCTTTTACTACTTTTTTCTAGAGAAATGTGTATTTCCTTTTGTAAAACAACTTCAATACGTGGGTAATTGGGTTTGAGTTTTGGAAACTAGTGTTTTTTTTTTTTAAGTCCCGGTTTGTTTTTGTTAAAATTAATTTTAATAAAATGTATATTTAAAAAGTTGATAGAAATTGTGAACTTCATAAAGTGTGGGACTAAAATTAATTATTAACTTTAACTTAAATTTTTATCAATTTTTTTTAACTAAATCAAGTAGACAAAGTTTTTATAGTTGTGAACATTTGTAAATAATAAGTACAAATTTGAGAGTCTTATGATAAATTATAATTTAACCTTATAGCTCAATTTCTCTCCATTTTCGAGTTACATTATTAAAATACGAAGGGAAGGAATTTGTACAGCTTTATGAATATTTTCAGGGGAAAACTGCTGCAGCGGTTCCTAACTTTTTCGTTTTTTGCACACTTTTACCTTAGTTTTCATTTTGTACCAGCGTAGGTACCTAACATTTCATAAATATACACCTAAAGTCCATTTGGAGGGAAATCGTTCAAAACATCGTCAGTTGACTCGAAAAATTCTTTGAACTATCTGCTACCGCAATGATTTTATTGGATGTTGATACTTTCTGGACAGTGTTTTTGAACGGTTTTATTATATTTTGATTCCTTAATTTTTCTTGTCAACTGATGGTATTTTGGACTGTTTCTGTCCGGATGGACTTCAGGTGCATATTTATGGAAGGTCAGGAACTTCCGCTAATACAAAATGAAGGTTAGGGTAAAGTTTGTAAAAAGGAAAAAGGTTAGGGACAGCTGCTGCAATTTTCCCTATTTTCAAGGTAAATCTATACTATGCTTTCAATCTCATACAAAGAATGCCAAGTATGTAAAGTCTAAGATTGCCTCGAATTTGCAATTGTTCTCTTTATCTTCTCTTAAGTAGGACTTCACCTCAATGGTGAGACTTCGTCTTAAAATCAAAGTTCATTGCCTTGCATAAATATTTATGCTTGGACTTGAAGTACTATTGATGTGTCACCTTGGTTTTATCTGCTTCAGTTTCAATATCACTTCGACTCCAAATTATTGGACGCCTCTTGCTTCATTATTTCTTTTGCTCCAAATCCTTGGACGCATCATCAAAACATCAATCAAAATCGAATACTTAATGATTCGGCCTTGAGCTTGTAACACTATCGTTATGCCTATGTTCTTACGGTGACAAGCCGCCTCTCTGAACCACCTTTTTGTAAGATCATTAAGTCTTTTCTAGGAGATTTAACACATTGAAATAGTCAAAAGTTGTAATCTAACGCATTGAATAACTTTTAGCCCTTGTCTAACATAATTTTTCTTGGAAATAATGAATTTTTGAATAGTAAATTTTAAAATAATGTATGATTAAAAAGTTTTGAATTTACGTGAATAATATTTAATTGTGAAAATGTGTGGTTCAAAATGAGTATGAGCAAAAAATTAAAAAGAATAGTTATCAAACAAGGGCTTAATTTGACTGATGTGATATCTCTACAAGGACAAATCCTCCCCCCTTCCCGCCTATGATGTTGTGTGAAAAGTTACAATGCTACGTTGGTTAGAATGTGACATCATTAAGCTTGACCCATAAGCTGTTGGAATGAGGGCCTCTCAACCTCTTTCTTTTGCATACAAATTAATCACACTTGGTGCTGTTTGAAGGTAATCTCAAATTGGTATTTCTCACTCTAAAAATCCAAACTCTACTCTCGCACTTTTTTTATGTTCATATTTTTCCCGTACTAAAATTTTCGTGTCCATTTATTGACTCGACATTAATGATCCCCTTGTCTTTGTTTCGAGAAGCATCAATATGCATCTTGTAACTCATATGTTCAAGTATACAAGTAACATACACGTGAAAAGAAGAGAGGTAGAGATCTTTTGATGTGATGGGTCTCAACAAAATTCGAATATCATCAATATCTATTAAGCATTCCTAAAATTATTGTTTTATTTATTAAAAAACTCAATGTGCTTAGTTTTCCTTTCGAAGACTCAATATTTTATATATTCGATAAGTTTAGTTTCTACTTGACATGGATTAAACTCTTAATAAAAAATTAAAGGGGTGTTTGAGCCACATTATTTTGGTAATAATGCATTCTTGAATAGTGCATTGATGGGAAATATGTGGTTAAAAAATAAGGAAAATTTTTTAATTTGCGTGTAATATTATTTTATTGAAAAATGTGTGGTTGAAATAATGTCAAATCACTGTTTAAGAATGTATTTTTTTTGGAATAATGTGTCTCAAACAGGCACTAAACAATTTTAATCATTCTTTTCATTAATATAGAATTTTTTATTTATGGTGTGTTTGATTTCGAGTATGGAATTCACATGAAAAGAAAATAAATTATAAGTAATTGAATTGCCTAAAAATTATTTGTATAGAAATTATCAATTAAATGTAATTGATTGATTTTATTTTCAACCTGAAAAATGTTATACTTATCCATTTTTTATTAATAAGTAGGTGAAAGAAAGAAAGGATAGATGAGAGAGAAAGCGAGTGAATTATCTGAAAAATAAAACATACTCTCCCTAAAAAAATATTTTTCTTATTTTCAAGAAAAATATGGTCATGTGACCAAAAGTAAAAAAATATTTTTCATGAAAAAATATCAATCAAACCGCACAAAAGTAGAAATTTAGGAAAAAATGACATTTTCCATGGAAAATCTTGACAATCAAAATTCAGTCTTGTACTTTTCATCAACTTTTATCAAATTCTTCCAAAAATCTAATCTTAACTACACCAAACAGGTTTAATGACTTTATCTTCTATATTTCTAAGTAATTAAACCAAAAATATTTAATAGGCTGAGAATCGGCTCCACTGGAACATGAGCTGCGGCTTGAACCGACTACGAAGGGTAGATGTAGCCTCTGACGAGGATATGGTGGTAATGATTGGTCACAGCTTGGGATCAATGATGATTCGGCTTTTTCTTCGGCTTTAGCCCATATGATATCGTAGATAGATATTACAGTTAGTAATTGAGCCGACTTTTCTTTTTTGGAAAAATTCATAATCAAGAGTTCAAGTATTACATATTTCAAAACTAAAAACAAAAGTTTTAGATTTTTATTAAAATTTAGTTATAATTTAATTAATTAATTTAATATATTAAGGTAATTGATCTATGCATTTTGATCACAAATTAACGAGTTAGTTAATCATCTATTATTTTTAGATCACGAATCAAAAATTTTATAGGTCACAAATAATTTAACATTCACAGATCAAAAATTTCATGTCACAATTTGTTCATCGTTCAAAAATCATAAAAAATAATTAGGTCACAATTTATTTATCGATCACAAATCACAAACTTCATAAGTCACATATTATTATACAGTAAAAAATTATCAAATTATTGGTCACAAATTAACAAAATATCAAGTTACATATTATTTTTTTGTAACAATTTATTTTTTTTATTGGTCACATATTGTTTATTAGTCACGAATTAACCAATTTAATGATCACATTCAACTAAATCATTTATGACCACCACCTCACCATTGTCATCAGTCGCAACTCCATCTAAAGCTACCGCGCACCAACACCACCACCACTACACACACAGCATCACAGTAGCACCATCACCATTGCTACAACCACAACATTATAGAACCATCACCACTACACCCACAACATCACAAAACTTATCGCACCACTGCAACAACCACAGCATTACAGATCCACCACCACCTCATGAGTCTCGTCTCTACCACCATCTCACCATTACCATCACCGCTGCTGCACACCACTAAGCACAACCACAACCACCACGATCTCATCACATCCCACAACAATAACAAAAATCACAGTCAGAAATGTAAGATCTCCTTTACTTCTCGAAGATCTTACAGATATGCTTCACGCAGTGGTTGCCTGCGCTAACAGAGGCTAGGCCATGAAGAGATAACAAGGCGGCAAGGTGTACAACGAGGCGGTGTTCGTCTGAGTAGAACGAAAAGCGGTAGTTTGCATACAGTGTTCATCGGAGTAGAAGGAAGAGAGATAACGAGGCGCGGCGGTGTTAGGCTACTTCGCACAACTTCACTCCGATGGGTCTTTTCTGGTAGAGAGTGATGCAAGAATATAGAGAGAAAGAGAAGTGAGGGAGAAGAAAGAGGAAATTATATATTAATTAATTTATTTTTAAATATATTCATTAGTTAACAAAAAGATTTGATTTTTAAAATATTAAACATAACATATGATTTAAGAAATGAGATCCTTAAATGTGGTAGTTTCTATAATTTTTGATAAGTGTATTTTATACACTTATTTAGGCCATTAAAATTGAATATTTGTTAAAGAATTTGATGGAATATGGCTTAATCATATTTATATATTGTGTGCAGGTTACAATCAATGAAAGATATGAGAATAAAGAAAATAAGCGGAAAAAACGACTCAATTACATCAAGGCAAAATTTGGGGACTAGAATGCAATAATCCAAAAGTTGAATTGGATCAAAGAACGATGAGTTGAAAACACGAAGAGTCAATTGGAGTTGAAGAGAAGCTAATAGGACAAGAAATTTTGGAAAAGGACCAAAACACACACTTCAGAAAGTTTAGGGACCAAATTGGCCCCTAAAATAATTGAACTATGTGTACGCATGGGCCTGTAGGCCCTGCATACGCACGGTTGGAAAATTGAATTTTCGAAGCTCAATTGAGGCTACTATGCATACGCACCAAATGAACCATGCGTACGCATGGTTCAATTCCAAAAAAAAATTCTGTTTCCTTATTTTGTTTTGGAAAGTCTTGGTTTGAAATTTTTTGCACTATATTTATACTTAATGATTCGGGTGATGTCGTTCCTTTATTTTTCCTGTTTTTCATACATTAATATGCTAGGCTAGACATCTTTGTATTGGATGGATGACAAAACTGATTGACTCCTAGTTTTTAATTCAAAACCTTATGTTTTTATCTTAATTCTTACGTTGTGGTTTTTTTAATATGCATATCTATATTGTTTTAATGTTTACGCACCATTAGGACAATAAGTTGCTTATTCGTAGTGTTGAAAAACTCACAGTAGGTAGAACATTGTTATTGGAACGCATGACAATGAATGTTAGGAATAATATTTATGACGTGTGCGATCATGTGTGATAATCCTATACATCAATGCGTGTTTGCCATATGAATTCGGATTAGGAATAGGATCGTTTCGTGGTAATCATAGGTTTATTATATCTTGGGAAAGAATAGTAAATAAATGTGGAATTATTGATCTTCACAATTGCATGAGTTGAGATCATTGTCAGAGGTCGAGAATTAGAACTAAGAGTTGATCAGTGGCGTCGGAAATCCAATACATTCACTCATCTAAAATCTAAAACAAATTCTCATAAATTTTGCAAATGTTTAGTTATAGAACTTAATTAGCTATTCAAACAAACGTTAACGTTTAGTTAATCTCACGAATTTAATTATATCGAATACACTGGAATTAGACCTTATTCTCTGTGGGACGATAACTCTTTCATCACAATTATTACTTGTACAACGAACCTGTACGCTTGCGGGATTTTAACGAACAAGTTTTTAATGCCGTTGCCGGGGAATAACGGTGTTAATTTTAGTTATTAGATATTTTAAATTCGTTTATTTTTATTCTTATTTCATTTTTAGTAGTTGCTTTTAGGCTACCATTAAACAGCTTAGTTCTCTTGTGTCTTGACACTTTTTAAGCGACATTAGTTTATGCAAAATCCTGAGGAACCAGATCTCTTCCCAATAGATCATGAAATAGAAAGAACATTTAGAAATCGTAGACGAGTTCAACGTCAAGCAAGGAGAATGGCCGATAACCAAAATCAACCACAACATCAGGTCCAGCTTCACGAGCAAATACCACAACCAAATCAACCGAGAGCTATCCACAACGATGCCCCTGTCTTAGTTGGAGATTATGTCAATCCAATTCCTGCACCAGTGCAACCAGCTGCAGTATATCCTCCCTTTGGACAACCTAATTTCCACCTTAGACCAGATGTCATCAGTTTGTTCCAAAATCACTAAGACATCAAGTTCTTTGGAAAAGCCATAGAGAATCCTCATGAACATATTTTGGCGTTTCTTATGCTATGTGAGGTAATCAGTCACGAAGGAATATCAATATATGCATTTCGAATGAGATTATTCCCTCATACCTTGAAAGACACTGTAAGGGAATGGTTTCTTTGTTTACCACCTGGAAGCATTCAATCTTGGAACGATATGGTTCAAGAATTCACGATGAAATTTTTTCCACCTTTTCAAGTTCATCAAGTCAGGAATGAAGTCCACACTTTCAAGCAGAAAGAGCTCGAAAGCTATCCAGAGGTAAGGGAGAGATTCAAGAATTTTTTCAGAAAATGCCCCAGCTTTGACATCCCTAAAAAGGCTCAGCAATATCTATTCTACTACGGTCTAAAGCAAGAATTCAGAAATATGATAGATGCTTCTGCAGGAGGATCGGTGATGAAACTTGATGTGGATGAGGCATATGACTTGTATGAAAGAATAGCCGAGAATCAATCGATGTGGCCAACCGATAGGAAAACGCCAAGGAAGACAGCAGGACTGCATAATGTAGATGCAGTAACAGCACTGGCTGCACAAATGGAAGTTCTCACAATGAAAATGGATAATCTATCTCAGTCAGTTAATATGGTACATCAATCTCCACCGGTTTGTGAAGGTTGTGGAGCTGATCATAATACTACGCACTGCCCTCTGGCGTCTACACATGTTAACCAGTCTAAAGAAGTGAACTATGCGCAGAACTTTCAGAGACAGTAAAATAGTCCCTTCTCCAACACATTTAATCTGGGTTGGAGAAATCATCCAAACTTTTCGTGGTCTAGCAATCAGAGACAAGGACAAGGAGGTAACAATCAGAATAAACCACCGGGGTTCCAAGAGCAGCAACAACAGCAAGGAAAGAAACCGTCTTTAGAAGATTTGCTGGCTCGGTACATTATTAAAATTGAGACCAACTTTCAAAATTAACAGGCCTCAATCAAGAACTTGGAACAACAGGTGGGACAGATTGCAGCCGCGTTATCAGGTAGAGCTCAAGGGACGTTACCGAGCAACACCGAGACAAACCCTAAGAAGCAGGTCAAAGCCATAACTACACGAAGTGGAATCCAACTTCCAGAAATACATGTAAAGCGCCAACAACTATCACAGAAAAGACACCTACAACGGGTGAAGAGCAAGTTGATGAATTAGACAAAACAACAGAGAAAAATCAAATTGAGTCATCGGGCAGTCTACGAGTTAAGACAAGCACTCTTGTCAAAGCATATGTGCCTCCAATCCCATTCCCACAGAGACTGCAAAAACATAAGCTAGATAAGCAGTTTCATAAATTTTTGTATGTAATTAAGAAGCTATACATTAACATACCGTTCGCTGAAGCCCTAGCTCAAATGCCCAGCTACGCCAAGTTTATGAAAGACATCTTATCAAACAAGAGAAAGCTAGAAGACAATGAAACGGTCATGCTTATTGAGGAGTGCAACGCAATTCTCCAACACAAATTACCACCGAAACTAAAAGACCCAGGGAGTTTTACTATTCTTTGTAATAGTAGTAATTTGTATATAGATAAGGCATTATGAGATTTAGGAGCTAACATCAATTTAATGCCCTTATCTCTTTTCAAGAAACTACTGCAGTTAGCCGATAGGTCAATCAAGCACCCGTGAGGTATTTGTGAAGATATTTTGGTCAAGGTCAATAAGTTTATCTTCCCAGTGGACTTCATTATTCTAGATATGGAAGAAGATCAGGACTTCCCCCTCATATTGGGTCGCCCATTTTTGGCTACGGGAAGGGCTCTGATAGATGTGCAAAAGGGTCAGTTAATATTGAGGTTAGATGAAGATGAACTGACAATCAATGTGTTTAGAGCCTTCAAATTTCAGAATGAACTAGATTCTTGTATGCAGATTGACATAATAAGGAAAGCAGTGTCAGAGGCATTTAAACTTGATCACCTTCAAGATCCGCTTGAGGCTTGCTTGGTACATTCTTAGGAATTCATCAGAAAAAGAGGAATCAGAAGAGTGTGCACGTTATTTAGCAGCCATACGACCAATTTTCAAGCAGCCATGTTTGGAGCTCGCCGAAAGACCCACAAAACCTTTACCATCTATACAGCAAGCTCCAACTCTTGAACTCAAACAGTTGCCCATTCATCTGCGCTATGCGTATTTGGGGGAAAAGAATTCGCTTCTAGTAATTATCTCGAACAATCTTACAGAATCAGAGGAAGATCAGCTTCTAAGAGTACTCCGGGAGCACAAGACAGCATTAGGATGGACGATATCAGACATAAGAGGCATCAGCCCTTCGCTTTGCATGCACAAGATATTGATGGAAGATGATTACAAAGCTTCAGTTGAGCATCAACGTAGATTAAACCCGAATATGCAGAAAGTGGTAAGAAAAGAAGTATTAAAGCTTTTGGATGCAGGGATAATCTATCCCATATCAGACAGTCATTGGGTCAGTCCAGTACAAGTAGTGCCGAAAAAAGGAAGAATCACGGTGGTCCCAAATGAAAATAACAAGCTCATCCCTACACGGACATTTACTAGTTTGAGAGTCTGCATTGATTATCGCAAACTCAACAACGCCACTAGGAAAGATCACTTTTCCCTCCCTTTCATTGACCAAATGTTGGAGAGACTCGCTGGACATGCATACTAATTTCTTAGATGGTTATTCGGGGTACAACCAGATTCCTATAGCACCTGATGATCAAGAGAAGATAACCTTTACATGCCCTTGTGGCACTTTTGCTTATAAGAGGATGCCCTTCGGCCTTTGTAATGCTCCAGCCACCTTTCAGCGTTGTATGATGTTAATTTTCTCAGACATGGTGGGACATATTATTGAGGTGTTTATAGATTATTTCTCAGTGTTTGGAAAATCATTTAAGGAGTGCTTTGAACACTTGGGAAAAGTGCTGCAGAGATGTGAAGACACAAACCTTGTATTAAATTAGGAAAAATGTCATTTCATGATTCAAGAAGGGATTGTGTTAGGGCATTTGATTTTAGCACGGGGTATTGAGGTTGATAGAGCTAAGATACAAGTCATCGAAAAAATACCACCACTGGTAACAGTTAAGGGAGTTAGAAGTTTCTTGGGTCACGCTGGGTTCTACCGTCGTTTCATCAAAGATTTTTCCAAATCTCGAAGCCATTATGCAATCTACTGGAAAAGGGGCCCCATTTCACTTTTCTGAGGAGTGCTTGACAGCTTTCAACATCTTAAAAGAAAAATTGGTTTCTGCTCCAATATTGGCTTCCCCAGATTGGAATTATCCGTTCGAACTTATGTGTGATGCTAGTGATCACGCAGTGGGGGCAGTGTTGAGTCAACGAAAGGAGAAGAGTTCCCATGTTATTCACTATGCCAGTAAGACTTTGGATGAGGCTCAAATGAATTATGAGACTACAGAGAAAGAGCTTTTGGTAGTAGTGTTCGCTGTTGACAAATTTAGATCATACTTGATTGGGTCAAAAGTGATAGTCTATACGGATCATTCAGCCTTAAAATATCTACTAAGCAAGAAGGATGCAAAGCTGAGACTTATTCGAAGGATACTCCTATTGCAAGAGTTTGATTTGGAGATCATAGATAAAAAGGGGAGTGAGAATATTGTGGCAGATCACCTTTCTCGCCTCGAATTGCATGAGTCAAACTCTACAGTGGAGATCAATGAAGTTTTTCCTGATGAAATGCTTTTTCAGATTATCACTACACCATGGTACGCCAATTATGTCAATTATTTGGCTCGCCCGATCATCCCACCAGACTACTCCAGTCACCAAAAGAAGAAATTCTTCAGTGACCTAAAACACTACTTTTGGGATGATCCAATTCTTTATAGAAGGGGTCTAGATCAAATCATACACCGTTGTGTACCAGAGGTAGAGCAGCAGCAAGTGTCATGTCACTCTGCACCATATGGGGGCCACTTCGCAGCAACCAAGACAGCAACAAAGGTACTACAATCGGGTTTCTATTAGCCTACGTTGTTCAAGGATGCACATTATATGGTGAAACATTGTGACAAGTGTCAAAGGACTGGAAATATCTTAAGAAAGAACGAGATGCCTTTAAACAACATTTTGGAAGTTGAAATTTTCGACGTTTGGGGCATTGACTTCATGGGACCATTCCCTCCCTCCTACGGTCAACAATACATACTAGTGACAATGGACTATGTGTCTAAGTGGGTTGAAGCTGTAGCTTTGCCAACTAACAACGTGCGAGTGGTAACTCAGTTCATGAAGAAGAACATTTTCACTCGATACGGCACTCTAAGGGCAATCATTAGTGATGGTGGAAAGCATTTCTATAATCGATTATTTGCATCGCTGTTGGCCAAATATGGAGTAAAACACTGTGTCTCGACTCCGTACCATCCTCAGACTAGAGGGCAAGTGGAAATCTCCAATAGGGAGTTAAAGAAGATTCTCAAAGCTACAGTCAATGCTTCCCGCAAGGATTGGGCTAAGAAACTAGACGATGCACTTTGGGCTTATAGAACAGCGTTTAAGGCTCCAATTGGCATGTCTCCATATCGACTGGTGTTTAGAAGGACCTGTCATCTGCCCGTTGAGTTAGAGCATAAGGCATATTGGGTAACTCATTTGCTCAATTTCAATATGAGGGCGGCAGGAGAAAAAAGGGTTCTACAACTCCATGAGCTAGGGGAATTTCGTTTGGATTCATATGAGAATGCAAAATTTACAAGCAGAAAATCAAGAGATGGCATGACAGACATATAAGAGAGAAGGATTTTGAAGTAGGCCAGCAAGTATTGATGTTCAATTCACGTCTCAGACTCTTTCCTGGAAAGCTAAAATCTAGGTGGTCAGGTCCTTTCACAGTAGTAGCCGTGCTTCCACATGGTGCTGTAGAAGTAGTATCTCAGGATGAATAGAGAAGGTTTAAAGTGAATGGACAACAGTTGAAAGCCTATTGGGGAGGTGACTACTCCAATGAGAAGACGACCGTACCTCTTAATAGTGCAGAGTAGCCTGAGCAACAAAGTCGAGCTATAGACTATAAAAATAGTGCTTATTAGGAGGCAACCCAATTCTCTCCCCTTTTATTTATTCCGCTTTGTTGCATTAGATTAGGATTTTTTTATATGTTTTTTTTATTGTTTGGGTGTGTTCGATAGATTAGGTGTCATCCATTCATTGCTTAGTTGTTGAGTCAATGCACAGGTCACACAATTTAATATTTGTTTTACACAAGTTTAGGGAAGTTCAATCATTCCAGACATGCAATTGGAGGGCACCATGAATATCTAGACAAAAAAAATGAGATGTTAAAGTCATCAAGGTTGAAACGTGTAATTTTGGATACGAGAATGCTTACTTATAATCTATTGATTCCCACATCAATTGCACATTTTTCGATCATAGTGATAAAGGTATTAGTTTGGGAATGGAACACGAGTGGTCGGGTTCGTTTGAAACCAAAACGAACCTTTCAAGATTGGCGTTGAACTTCTATGTCATAATCGTTTTGCATACTTCTAAACTATATTATGTAAAGAATTCAGTCGGGGGTGGGTATGAAGAGTCAGTTATTAAAAAAAAGGTTAACCATGCACGGTTGGCAGATTGGCCATCTGAGGCCAATCTACTTTGGCTGTGCGTACGCACGAACCAAGCCATGCATACGCACAGCTTGGTCGGGTGAGGGTTTAAATCCCTCACCCACGCACATAGTCCCTTTGTTGCATTAGATTAGGATTTTTTTTATATGTTTTTTTTATTGCTTGGGTGTGTTCGATAGATTAGGTGTCATCCATTCATTGCTTAGTTGTTGAGTCAATGCACAGGTCACACAATTTAATATTTGTTTTACACAAGTTTAGGGAAGTTCAATCATTCCAGACATGCAATTGGAGGGCACCATGAATATCTAGACAAAAAAAATGAGATGTTAAAGTCATCAAGGTTGAAACGTGTAATTTTGGATACGAGAATGCTTACTTATAATCTATTGATTCCCACATCAATTGCACATTTTTCGATCATAGTGATAAAGGTATTAGTTTGGGAATGGAACACGAGTGGTCGGGTTCGTTTGAAACCAAAACGAACCTTTCAAGATTGGCGTTGAACTTCTATGTCATAATCGTTTTGCATACTTCTAAACTGTATTATGTAAAGAATTCAGTCAGGGGTGGGTATGAAGAGTCAGTTATTAAAAAAAAGGTTAACCATGCACGGTTGGCAGATTGGCCATCTGAGGCCAATCTACTTTGGCTGTGCGTACGCACGAACCAAGCCATGCATACGCACAGCTTGGTCGGGTGAGGGTTTAAATCCCTCACCCACGCACATAGTCCCCACAAATCCCCTCTTCACCCATACACGAGCACCCCTCTATTTATCCACAAATCGGCGCATCTTCCCCCTGATTTCTTCATCCCTTCACTTGGGCATTACACATTGGTCACATTAGAGTACCTTGTACATCAACATCATCCACTCAAACACTCCCAATTGCCAAGAACTCGAAGGTAATATACTTCACTTTGAACACTTGCGGGTTGCAATTTTTTTTTTCAATTTTCGTGCAT